TCTTTCCCTTTATCTTCCACTTATATACTCTTTTCCTTTATCTTCCATTTATATACTCTATCTTGTAGATGTCAACAAAGTATACAACACCAAAATCAAATTCAGCTAAGGGCATGATTGGATACTAACTTAGAAACCCTTTTAAGAGTTTTTCATCTTTGCTAAAAATAATGCAGAGAAGCCCTCAAAAACGATCGTGATTCAAACTTATACCCAGACAGACTCTAATTACAATTGCACAAAAGGAAAGCAACATTTACGATTATTGTTATTATCATTACTACAAATAATTTGAACTATTCACCTGAAATTGACTCTCTGCGGCGACGCGACCTCAATGCCGGATCGAACAAAGAAAACGCCGTCGGGAGGAAAAGTGATGACGTTGTTGAGCGTCCTTTCCCGAACATCTATGACCTGCAACACGTCGCCGGCTCGGGTTCCGAACAAGGGAGCCTTCTCGATGATGAAGAGCTGCTCCTTCTCCGTCGTCCACAGCAGCCGCCACGTGGCCGACAGCGCATCGCCGGTGGTGACGGATCCGCGGCGCGCGGCGGCCATCGCGTCGATGGTTTCCACGATTGCGGCGCGCTTCGCGGGGTCGCTCTGGGTGCGAAGGCCGCGGTCCTGGTCGGCGATGAGGGCGAGGAGGTGCTCCCTGGCGGACCGCGATTGGGCGGTGACGGAGGAGCAGGTGAACCGCGGGTGAGAGTAGCGTGGGCCGGGGAGCTTAGTGGCAAAGGGGTTGGGAAGGAGGAGCGTGGCCATTGGTGTGGGGGTGGGGATGATTGTTGAGTTTCATGGCGTCTGTGGAGTGAGTGAACACTTGAAAGAATTGGCGGTTCAGAATAGAAATCTCACTCGCTGGAAGATATTGTGGGAGCCACGTGGAATGCACGTGTATATTATTAAGTCTTGTGTGAATTTTGAATAAACTTGTGTTTATATTTCCTAGATTATATTCAATGCTGTGGTCACTTTGGCAAAAAATAATATTAATACCTTTGCTATTGTTATATTAGTTAAATAACTAAATTATGGATTGTTTAAGATTTAGAAAAATTGTTTTTGTCAGTTAATATTAATAAATTTATTTTAAGTTTCTGTTTTTTTTTTAATTATTTTCAAATTATTAGGATAGTTAATAAACTTTTCAAAGTTTTTGAGTTCCATAAAAAAATATGAAATTATTTATATTTTAAAGATATAAATTAAATAAATTTTAATTATTAGTTGAACTCAAAAAATATATTTATAAAGGTATTTTTATAAAGAAAAATTAATACTTAAGACAAAATGTATTGAATTTTATAAAATAAATTAAACTAATTTAAAAATTTGGGTATTGTATAAAGTTTGTAGAGTCAAACTAAAAGAAAATTAAAAATACATGTAATCAAAGGTCCAAAATGATATCGGAGCGTTTCAAATGGATTTAATTGAGGCAAATCCTTTGGTACAAGTTGTTGAGAACGTGTTTTGAAGGCTTTCTGGCCATCTTAAATAAAAGAAATTTTTAAAAATTTAAAAGCTGCAATGACTACTTGTAGGGTTATTGTCTCGATTATGACCTTAGAAGACAAGGTGCAATGTCATCGACAAGGTGAGACATCTCCACTAATGTAGGGAACGTGTGCCAATCAGGTTTAGCAAACTTGTTGATAGATTAAAGAAAAAAGGGGTTAGAATAATTGGTGCTTCAACTTGGATTGGTGTAATTGGAGTAACTTCTAGCTACATCATTTGTATAATAGACCCATCAGTCTGTGATGGCTGCTTACCCTTGTCTACATCAGATGATAGTTGAGTAGACGAAGACTAGAGTTTGCATCTATCATAGTTAGATGAAGTTGTTGGATCGATCAAATCTTTGGTAGATAAACATAATACTTCTTTAAGGGCCAGCTATTCATCTTTCTTTCTTTGATCTTCAGCCTCTGGTTGCGACAGAGTATTGACATGCTTGAAGAGCCTTTGTTCCTCCTTCGTGGTTTAAGGCTTAAGGAAACCTCAAACCAACTTTCTCCTTTAGGACTTTGGGCGAAGAGGTGTTATTGATTGTTGTGGTGGAGGTGATGGTGACTTAGGTTTGCGAGTTGGGCGAGAGAGACGGAAGGACATGAGCTTGTCATCTAAGTCAAATGAAGACTCATGGGCATGGATGTAAAGGGATTTAGGTACATGGTCTTTTGTTTTCACTTTGGTGGTGGAAGAGAGGCTTGTGTTTGGGTCTAAAGGAGAGTTGGTGGTTGGGATTGAGAGTGGCTTTCTAGTGGTGGCCTTTTTCAAGGGAGGTTCCTTAGAAGGCTTCATCTTCACTTCAACTATGGACTTTTTCACCTGAGGAAACAAATGGGCAATTCCTATTCACTTTAGGTTGGTTATTGATGGAGTTTCCTTGAGAAGATGAAGCAATGGTTCTCCTCTTGGCTTCTCCTTGCTCCACAATCTTTCTTGAGGTCTTCAAATGCAAAGGAAGCATGAAAATATAGAGTTTATACTCTGTTTTGGTGCGGCACTCTCTTAAAGGAGAAGAAAGGAACCAAAGGCACAAAGGAAGAATTCCTTTGTGAAGGTTCTTATGGAGAAAGTTTTCTCCAAGTGTAAGAGACTCTTGAGAGAGAATTTCTAAAAATGAAATATCAAATACATCAAAAGTGGTCAGCTACAAAGGAATAGGGTATATATAGGAGATGAGTGGCTTGTATGAGAAGCTAAGTTAACTAGAGTTCAAAATAAACCATGGTATGGTTACTTTGAACTCTAAATGCTCAAATTTGGAGCTTCCTTAGCCGATCACACTCACCATGCATGCTCACATGAACCTTGAGCATTTGAAATGTAATTTAAGTGGCATTTCATTTGAGTTTGAGGCATGTGGATGGCACCTAGGCATGACCATTCATGCATGCACCAAATTCAAATGAAATGCTAACCTAAATTATATTTTAATGCACATGAAGTTCATAATAACCCTTTTAAGTCCTATACTACTTGACCTATAATACAAGGTCAAAAATAAAACTATACAGTAAATACTAAAATAAAAAGACAAAGAAAATGAGACCAATATTGGCTATGTAAAACCATTGGCCTAAAACACCCAAAATACAAGGCTAAAAGATTACAATGAAATACTCATACTCTATGTACAATCTTACTAAGCCAAGCCTCAAGATGTAGTGGCCCACGTAAAGAGTAGCTTTGGCCTAGAAAGCCCACTAACCTTAAAGCTAGTCAATCTCTCATGTATGCTCTTTGCCATGACTCTAGTAATTAGGCCTTTAGCCCAAGGTCGTCCATCAGTTACGGTGACTTCACCACCCTCCTTCCCTTTCGCCATGCCGATGGTGTCCACGTCGACCTCTTAGATGATCTTCGTGAAAAGTATCATGTAGAGAATGGGTGCTCATTTGCTCCATTCTTGGTCTCATTAATCGAGGCAAGAATTCTAGTGGTTGTAAACCAAATTGGGCAACTTAATATTCACACCTAGGCATAGATGATACAAGAAGAACCTATCCACATCAAAGACATTATCCATGGAACTAGACTAAGGGATAAATGTGTTGAATAAGAGGTTGTGGAATAGCCTGCAAAAAGGTTTTAGGTTAGCTACACATAAGTACTTCTTTTACTTTGTCTTCTCCATGGGGCGAGGAGTGGAGTACAACATCACATCCATAATTCCTGCCATGATGGTCACTTCTTAATCACCAAAATAGGAGATTTCCTCCCTCATGCAACTCGAGACAATTACTATGATGAAAGGGTTAATCCTCATGGTGGTCTAGTCCACCTATCCAATGAAGGCATTGTAGACACCCAATTTCGTCTGGGGGCACACAGACAAGGAAATGGACCTCCGTTATGAAGGGAAGGAGCTCTCGAAGTAGGCAAACAACAAGATAGTACATCAGAAGGCCTAAAGGCCAAATAAGGTGGTTTTAGTAGCCCGGAATGGGCTATTCCAAAATCGGAATGGGACGTTCCAACGTGACTAAAACACCTAAAGGGTCCTAGGCTGGAATGGGTCGTTCCAATACTAGAACGGGTCGTTCCAAACAAGTCAAATTTGGAAAGGGTCATTCTGGAAAGGGTAAATTTGTGTTAATTTCCACTCTGGAATGGGCCGTTCTATTTTCAGAACGGGCCATTCCAAGGTGCGTAATTTGCACATAAAGACTGGCCTAGAACGGGTCGTTCCGAATCCAGAATGGGCCATTCTAGCCCCCTTCTAATTCTTATAAATAGAAGCCTCGGGCACAGTTCTCAGGGCAGCCAGAGAAATTTGGAATAAGACTCTTTTGAGCACAAAAATTCTTTATCTCTCTCCCTTCTATTGTACTTCTTGAGATTTGTGTCACATCTTTATCTTCTCTCTCCCTCCTATTGTATTTCTTGAGATCTGTGAGGCATATTGTAGTTTGAAAGGTCGCCACAAAGCACCTTCTCCATATTTGAAGATTCAATAAAGCTCTTTCAAGAGGTATTTCAGTCAATCTTCTTCTCTTCCTTTTATTTCTCATCTTTGTCTCTTTTTTGTTATAATAAACGTCATAATGTAGATGTTTTAGGGTTAATCGCTTAATTTATATTTTAAGCATGTAAATAAACATTAGTAAAGGGGATTTAATATTTAATTTATTAATTCTTATCATGTTAATTTCATCATAGGGTACCGATTTAGGGTGTTGTGGGGGTGCTTAATACCTTCTCTACTCGTAATCGACCCCCGAATCCAATTCTGGTTATCAAGGCCATTAATGGACTTTTTAAAAAACCTTTTCTTTTTGCAATATTTTGAGTAAAATATTGGTGGTGACTCCATGAACTCATTTTTCAAAACCATTACTTAAGTATTAGTCTGGTGTCCGGACATTCCTTAATTGATGAGATTTTCAAAAGGATGTCTAAACCACAGGTCTCGAGATCGGAAATTTTTGGGTTGCGACAGGCATGAGCCTCTTATCCCATAATGCATAAAAGTAGGCATAGGTAGCATGAAACTAGTTGCACTTCATCTCAACAAATGAAGTCCATCCAACTCTGTTTAGGTAATTGCTCACAAGATACCCTTCATCCTAAAGCTTATGCATTGTTATCGTCTTCCTCGAAAAAAAGGTAAACTCAAGGTGTTCTTCCATGGGAACCTTGTTGCTTCAGGTAGCTTGCATCTTAGGTGTCATTTGTGGTTTTCAGATGTAAAGTGTTTGAGTTTCATATTAGGGTTGTAGACCCCTAAAATTGTCCGGGTCGGAAATAAAGCTTGAAGACTCTCGAAGACTGAAGGAAGATCAGCCAGAAGGACTTCCAGAAGGCCCAAGGAGGGTTCTCTATAGGTCTAGAGGTCTTAGGATAGCTAAAATAAGAAAAGTGGGAGGAATGAAGCCCAATACGGCCTCCCAGAGGTTCAGTACGGCCGTATTGAACATTTTGAACTTCAATACGGCCGCACTGAACTCAATACGGCCGTATTGAAGTTTCTGAACTTCAATACGGCTGCATTGAATTCAATACGGCTGCACTGAACTTCAATACGGCCGCACTGAACTTCAATACGGCCGTATTGAGGTTTTTTGAACTTCAATACGGCCGTATTGAATTCAATACGGCCGTATTAGTTCAAAATTTCAATGTTGACCGTATTGACCCTCATAAACCGTATTGAGCCTCTTCCCTATAAATATGACGTCAATGGGACGTCATTTGACACTTTTGGACTGAGTTTTAACCCTCTTCTTGAGTATTCTGGGTTTTTTTGAGCAGTGCTCTGCCTAGAAATCACTCGGAGAGTTGATCCGACGAAGTTTTTGAGTTCTGAGCATTTTGCTTGAGTCTCAAACTAAGTCGAAGG